TGGGTTTAGGGTTTAGGGTTTGGGGTTTGGGGTTTAGGGTTTTGGGATATCATAACCCCCTATAGAACTGAAAGTGTGCAGTTTTGTGGGGGGGGGGGGGGGGGGTTGTGAAGTCGGCAAGCAAGGAAGATTTTGAGCACCCGGTCCAACGACTACAACATCTGGCCGAAGGCAAACCACTTTCCGTACACAGATCCTTGGTAGCCCAGTGGTACCCTTTCCTCTTTTTTTTTTTTTTTTTTTTTGGGGGGGGGGGGGGGGGGGGTTCTGGTTCCCTTATAAAGTAACCAGCCAAAAAAAGGGTGCCCTTATTGTGGTATGGTTACTGGGCTACTAAGAAACCCTGAACCCTAAACCCTAAACCCTAAACTCTAAACCCTTATGGGTATTGGGCTACTAAGGATCAGAAGTGGATGTACCGCATCTGGGATCCCAGAGTGAGGCCCCGTATTGCTCCCCTCTTTGCTTAAGGGGGTGAGGGCCTTTGGCTTCCCTTTGTCACCCTAAACCCTAAACCCTAAACCCTAAACCCTAAACCCTAGGCATCTGGGACTACGGCGCTGAGATGTTCCACATCATGGAGCCCATTGACAGCGCCAGCGGCAGCGGCTTTCGGTTCCTCGAGGCAGAGTGGGTTTTGGGTTTGGGGTTTGGGGTTTAGGGTTTAGGTTTAGGGTTTAGGGTTTAGGGTTTAGGGTTTAGGGTTTAGGGTTTAGGGTTTAGGGTTTAGGGTTTAGGGTTTAGGGTTTAGGGTTTAGGTTTAGGGTTTAGGGTTTAGGGTTCAGGGTTCAGGGTTTAGGGTTCAGGGTTCAGGGTTTAGGGTTTAGGGACAGTACCTATACCCAACCAAGGGTTTCTGCTTGGACTCCTTGGTAGCAGCCTTGCACCTGACCTCAGCAACCACATAGAACTTCCATGTTGACCCCAAAACCCTAAACTCAACCCTCAACCCTGAACCCTAAACCCTTTACCCCCAAGACTGGCACACACCCTCTGCCACGACCATCTCCCCCATTAAGGCATTCAGGACCAGAAGCCGTCTCAAGGTTCCTGTAAACCTCACGGAAAAAAAAACAAGCCCCATCGACCCCAGTGCCTCTAGCCCTAAACCCTAAACCCTAAACCCTAAACCCTAAACCCTAAACCCTAAACCCTAAACCCTAAACCCTAAACTCCCTGGGTAGCCTTCTGCTTCGCAGAACTTGAAGTGCTGGGCTGGCAACCTTGGATCAGTTTTGGGCATACGAAGCCCTTTCATAACCTAAAAGGCTGCCGGTCCTCTCCCTGGTATAGGGTTTAGGGTTTAGGGTTTAGGGTTTAGGGTTTAGGGTTCAGGGTTCAGGGTTTCGGGTTTAGGGTTTAGGGTTTAGGGCTGGGATGCTCAGCCAGTGAGGCTAGCAACCCGCGCCCCAACCCTAAAACCCTACACCCTACAATTCCCATTGTCGTTTGCCATATGCTTATAAGACCCCCCCCAAAGAAAAATGATCAAAAACATTCTTCCTTACGTAAGGGTAGTATAAGGATCATTAACTTCCATTATTTTTTTTGGGGGCGGTTCTTACGCAAATAGTTGAGAACCCCCTAAAAACCCTATAAGCCCTATAAGCCCTAACCCCAATATTTTTTTATGGGGTTCTTAAGCGGCCCTCGGGACATTTGCTATTTTTCCCTTCTTGGGTTTAAGAGGACCATACATAGGCATACGCTTTAGAGGGTTTTAACGGGCCATCCTAGTAAAGAATGCCCTAAACCCTCAACCCCTCAACCCCTAAACCCTCAACCTTTAACCCCTAAACCCTAATCCCTAAACCTTCAACCCTAAACTCCCAAGAATGCCAGGAGCACATCGGCAAGGACGCGGTTTGCTCCTTTGCCTGGGGTCGAGATGGCCGCTTGGCATCCTCCGAGGAGCTGATGGATGTGGGCCTGGTGGCAGGCCATTTGGGGGTCTTTAGGGTTTAGGGCTTAGGGTTTAGGGTTTCAGGGTTTAGGGCTACTTCACTTAGGTTCATAGTAGAAAAGGGTCGACAATCCCAGTTTTGGGGGGCTCGTTTGGCCTCATTTTAACGGTTGTTCCAAGTAGCTAGTAGTCGTCGCTGTTCGTGGTGTTGCAGGCCATGGCTATTCCTTGGTCCAGTGCAAGCAAGTGGGTGGTCGCAGGTTTGTCCAATGCCGGAACCCATGGGGCAGCTTCTCATGGAAGGGCCGGTTCGGATTTGGGTATGACTGGAGTGAAGAGCCTGCCCTTGCCGCGGACTTGCGGCCCAACACCACCAAAACTGACGATGGCATCTTCTGGATGTCGCGCGAGGACTTGTTCCGCTGGTCCAACCCAAACATGCGCTTCACGTTGATACTCTGCGCCTCTGGGTAGCCAAGCGGTGCCCTTTTCCCTCTCTTTTTTTGGGTTCAAGGTTCCCTTAGAAAGTAGCTAACCCCAAAAAAGGGGTGCCCTTATCAGAATATGGTTACTGACCCTAAACCCTAAACCCTAAACCCTGCTGGGCTACCCAGGCTTCGGAAGAGCATGGCTACAAGACCGACTCGCTATCCGGAACTTGGCCGGCCTCCGGACCTGACGACCAGGGTACCTTGGGGACGCAACGATTCCCTAATCGGGTTTAGGGTCTAGGGTTTAGGGTGTAGGGTTTAGGGTTTAGGGTTTAGAACGGGCCCTTTGATCCATGTACCCTTTTTTTTGGGGGCCATCGGCTTACTTTGCCTTAAGTTGAACTTTAAACTGTTTTTGGGTTTTGTTATTTAGTAGAAATATTAATGTTTAACCTTTTTTCTCCCCTTGGTTATTGGAGAAGCAAGTAGGGACGAGCCATAAAAGTACATCCCATCGTTCCGTCGGTCCGCAAAGGCAACCATCCTGCTCTGGTCATGACGATGCCTGACCAAGCTGCGCTTGATGCTGGTGGCAGCTCCCTCTTCCTCTTTCAAGCAGCTTGCTTAGCCAATGGTTGAACTTTAGACTGTTTGGGTCTCCTTCTTAAGTAGGCATATGAGAGGTTATAACCTCTTTTCCCCTTGGGCTATTGGAGAAGTAAGGCCGAGGGCTATGGCGCGCGCATGACCAATCAGTCCAAGCGATGCTACATCGATGTCTACCAGCTTACAGAGGATGGACAGCCCCTCGGCGACCTAAAGTCTTTGTTTTTTGGGCTACTCCTGGGGCCCTGAACCCTAAACCCCAAACCCCAAACCCTAGTCACAGGGGCTTAGGGTTCGGTTTCATTCGGGGGTGATCATCGGGGTATAGGGTATACGATACTGTGTCCCTTCATGCTCCAGACTTAGAGGGGTCATCGTAGTAGATTTTTTAGGGGCCTTCTTTAGGCGCCTACTAGCCAGAGTAGGCCCTTATTTCCTTTTTTCAGGGGTGGGGTTCCCTTTTTAATCCCCTTATCAAACCAAAAAGGGCACCCTTTTATTCCCAGGCTACCCCTGGGTCCTAAACCCGAAACCCGAAACCCGAAACCCTAAACCCTAAACCCTAAACCCTAAACCCTAAACCCTAAACCCTAAACCCTCTTAAGGGAGGAACTAAGGCAGGTGTGCTCGGAGTCTCCGCTCATCTCTACAAAAGAGCTTTACCACTGGTGGGGGCGTGAGACGCCAGCGCACCGACTCCACGTAGGCAGGGGGGAGTTGGAGTGATTTCTAATCGTGTTCCCTTATGGTCCCTCTAGAAGGTCCCTCTAGAAGTCTACTATATAATGACTCCCCTCAACCCTAAACCCTAAACCCTAATTATTAGGGGCCCCTATATGAGGCAGCGGCGCTCCGGACCCCTCTGTTCCGGCCGGATGCCGTCTTTTGCTTGTCGTGCGGCCGCAGCCGGCAGACGAGACCAGAGTCTCGGTAGGCCCTTGGGACATTTTAATACTTTCCCATATTGGGTTTAAGACCCTAAACTCTAAACCCTAAACCCTAAGGGTCATCCCAGGAGTGCCCTTGCAGCAGGGCGACAAGTTCTTCTTGCGGATGGCATCGAAGCCTCACCATGAACGTGCTGCAGACTTCAAGCCGTTCTCGGCTTTCCTTCCTGCCAAGATTTCGACGCATGCGGTGGTGATATCTGCCCTGTATCACGAGACCGATGTCACCGCAAAGGTCGTTGATCTCTATGACACACCACATGAGTCTGCGAAGCCTGCTGGAGCAACGTGTGGCCAGGAAGATGACCATCTAGTGTTTACGAACTTCAATGAGTTGTTTGGTGATGTTGCGCCTGGCGTGCCCAAGCAGCTAACGGTAGCCTTCTGGAAAGACGGCTGTGAGCACAGCATCTCAGCCACCGAGTCTGAATGGATGCGCATACCGCGCCCCGGGAAGCGATCTGAGAAGTGTCCAGACTACGATGACTTCGGGGACTGGACGTGGGGCATACAGCGCGCCACCTTCGGCCCGCGGGACGTCACGGAACCGCTTCGCGGGATCCTTTGCGATTTCGGTGGCAAGGTCGACATGCTCAAACGGTTCGGGGAGACGGGAGAGGGCAACCTTGGCGAGGGCGATGTGTTCGGTGACCCTACTCCCGGAGAGCCAAAGAAGCTCATCGTGGAGTTTTCAGATGGGAGCACACGAACATGGGAAGGGAGCAGTGAGGTGCGCTTAGACGTGTCTGATTGGAAGCCGGCGGTGGAGCCGTCCCCTGCGCGCGCAGGCGCCGGCCGCGGTGTAGCCCTAGCAAAGGCAAGCCGGATGGATGGCTGAAAGTCATTTTGCAACTTGAGGTTTCAGGGTTTAGGGTTTAGGGTTTAAGGTTTAGGGTTTAGGGTTTAGGCCTAGTAGTTATTTCCCAGCGTCTTGTCAAGAAGGACCCCTTTTGTCCTTCCGAAATTCCGGCACCTTATTGGGGCCCTTTTTTTTGGGCAATCCTACTATTTGGGGAGTCTATGTTAGGGGCCCCCTATTTTCGTAAACCCTAAACCCTAAACCCTAAACCCTAAACCCTCAAGCCCGAACTCAGACTCTTTCTTCAAGTCCAGGAGAATACTCACTGGGAGTCCTACCTGCTCACGGAGGCCTCCATCTCCCCTTAGGATATTTAGGGTTTTGGGGTTTAGTTGTTTAGGGTTTAGGGTTAGGCCAGTCAGTTTCGGTATAGCGACCATAGCTAGTGTATAGTAAGCTATACATGGACATGAGCTTGCTTCAGGATCCAGGATGTAGGTTTAGGTTGAGGGGTTTGGTTGTTTAGGGATTTTGGTTTAGGGTTCAGGTTGAGTTGTTTTGGGCGTAAGGTTTTGGGGTTTGGGGCCCTTTGGGGTTCAGGATTTAGCTGTTTAGGGTTGTAAGTTTCAGTGGGTTTAAGGTTTAGGGTTTAGTTGTTAGGGTCTACGGTTCAGGGGTTTCAAGGTTTGGGGTTGAGTGGTTTAGGGGTTCAGGTTTATGTATAGGTGTGGGGTGTACATTGCTTTGCTTTGACTTACCGGCGTAGGGGTGTACGGGGGGCTTTATGGGTTAGAGTCACCTTAGTTCAGGTTTCGTTTGGGCTTGGGGTTTAGGGTTTCGGGGTTAGAGTTAGGGCTCTATCGCTGGGTGGTGCAGGCCAAGGAATCCGCCCCCAGCGCTTGCGGATTCGTTTATTTAGGTGATTGTGTTTGTGGGGTTTAGGGTTTAGGATTTCGGGGATCAGTTTGGGGTCTAAGGCTAAAGGGGTTTTGAACTGGAGGTGCTCTCTTGCCAGCCCTTCTACGACCTGCGCGCTCGTGTGCGTTTGGGCCGCACCTCATGTGCCTTCTGAAGGCCCTAAGCTAACCCGAAGCCCCGCAACAATTTCCACACTGGGCTTTCAACCCAAGCCCAACAAAGAGGTTTAGGGTTTAGGGTTTAGGGAACTTAAGCCCTAAACCCTAAGTCCTTTGCCAGATCAAGCCGCAAACCTGAGGATCAATTTGACCGGCGTGGTCCACGACTTCTTCGGCAAGCTTCAGGTGAGAACATGGGGTTGTCAGGGGCTGCGGAACGTCGGTGAGGGTTGAGGGTTGAGGTATAGGGTTTAGGGTTTAGGGTGCTGGGGCCGTTCCATCGTTGCGATGGTTAGCGTGAAGTCCTTAGACATGTAGTCACCACGGTGCAAACCCTCCAAAGTAGGTCACAATCCAACCCCTTACCCACCCCCAACTGCAACAAGGTGTTGAGAGCCCCTTGCGTACACCAAAGTACTACACATCCTCAAAAAGCGTAGCCCTAACATGAGCAACACGCTTAGGAACCCTTAACCCGAAACCCGAAACCCTCGAATTGAACAGAGTTTGAGCACAGAGCGTCAACCAGCCAGGAAGCCATGCAGCAGGATACGCTGTTACAGCTCACAGGTGCGGCCGCAGAAGACAAACATGACATTTTTGGCCCATTGGGAAGCCCAGAACCATGGAACCCCAAGCCTAAACCCCAACCCCGAAACCCGAAACCCGAAACCCGAAACCCTAAACCCTAACCCCTAACCCCTAAACCCTAACCCTAAACCCTAAACCCTAAACCCTACGAGTACGCACCTCTGAGACCCTTGAGGGCCAGCCCTGGTGTGCAAGTTTATGGCTTACGGGCCGAGGCTGACGCAGACAGGTTTAGGGTTTAGGGTTTAGGGTTTAGGGTTTAGGGTTTAGGGTTTAGGGTTTAGGGTTTAGGGTTTAGGGTTTAGGGTTGATTTCTGAGCCCCAGCTGACCGTGAAGCCCGTCACTAGGGTTTCAGGGCTTCGGGGTTGGGATTTAGGGTGTATAAAAGGGTTGAGGATTTAAGGTGTTTGAAATTAAGATTTAGGGTTTAGGGTTCTGGGTTTTGGCTTTGGAATAATTGTCGGATTTGGGTTGTGGGGGGTGTTTTTCTTTTCTGGGAAGGGTTTGACACCCCAGAGCAACAAAACCAAGCGCCTTCGTTTCATTCGAAGTGTTGCCGGGAGTCTGAGGCATCCAGGAGGAAGACCTGGCTGAAACCCTGAACCCTATGAACCCTAAACCCCAGTGTTTAGGGTTTAGGGTTTAGGGCTTAGGGCTGAGGGCTTAGGGCTTAGGGCTTAGGGCTTAGGGCTTAGGGTTCAGGGTTAGATGATGTGGACACTTTTTCTGCTGGCGCAGCATCGCCGGCGGGCCCTCTTTTGGCACACCATCCCGACAAAAACGACGAGCCGGCGTTCAGTGTGGACGAGATAGAGCATGCTCCCCCAAACCCTTAACCCAATGAGGGTTTAGGGTTGTTTACCTCAGAGGACATCTTGAAAGCCGGTGCGCTTGTAGTGGACAGACGCCATGAAATCGAGCTTGAGGGCGTGGCCAAGATCAGGCAGGCCGTGGGCACAACCCCAAAGCCGGAAAACAGTTCCACGAGCGGAGAACAGTTCCACGAGCCCCTATCCCTAAAGCAACTCCAGCGTGCCGCTCACGCACATGTACCCACCTCAACCCTGAACCCAGGGCTTAGGGCTTAGGGTGGTCGGTGTGCAACTTACGTCTGGTGTGGCACCGGGTGTGTTTCGTTCTTATCAGATTTCGGAGCAGATCCTTCAACTTCATCCTCGGCAGCATCAGTGGCTTCAACAGGGGTTTAGGGTTCAGGTTCAAAGTGTAGGGTTTAGGGTTTAGGTTTTAGGGTTTAGGGTTTAGGCTTTAGGGTTTAGGGTTTAGGGTTTAGGGCTGAGGACTGTCGGGCGTGGCCCTAAACCCCAAAACCCATAACCTTAAACCTTAGATACCCAGCTTCAGAATTCAACCCCCCAGCTTCCGCAAGATGCTCTTAAATAAAAACCCTCTGCAAGAATGTGCATAGGAGACTAGCCAGGGCATGATAAGCAAGATGTAAGTTGCCGACACAATGCCATTCTTCCAAAGGATGAGGCCCAAGCCCGAACCCCTCCATTGTGTTAGTTCAGGCGCCCTGAGCCCTAAACCGAGGGCTTCAACTAGCATTAGGAATGTTTAAGGTTTAGGGTTCGGGGTTTAGGGGTAGGGTTTAGGGTTTGGGGTTTGGGGTTTAGGGTTTAGGGTTTAGGGTTTAGGGTTTAGGGTTTAGGGGTTGGACCCTCGACCCCCTCTTTCCAGAGGCTCGCCCGCGCCAGCCAGCAAGCGGAAGCTACCGGTGTGAAGCGAGCATGGCCAGCCGGCAGTCCGGTTTAGGGTTTAGGGTTTAGGGTTTAGGGTTTAGGGTTTAGGGTTTAGGGTTTAGGGTTTAGGGTTTAGGGTTTAGGGGTTGGACCCTCGACCCCCTCTTTCCAGAGGCTCGCCCGCGCCAGCCAGCAAGCGGAAGCTACCGGTGTGAAGCGAGCATGGCCAGCCGGCAGTCCGGTTTAGGGTTTAGGGTTTAGGGTTTAGGGTTTAGGGTTTAGGGTTTAGGGTTTAGGGTTTAGGGTTTAGGGTTTAGGGTTTAGGGTTTAGGGTTTAATTGGGGTTTTGGGCCTAGGGTTCAGGGTTTATTTCGGGGTATGACTTTAGGGTGTAGAGTGTAAAGTCTAGATTTAACCTGCAAGCCCCGCCCAAGCCGTTCAAATCAGGAGGTAGAATCCCAGGCAACCCCAAACCCTAAACCCTACTCCCTAAACCCTAAACCCTAAGCCCTAAACCCTCCAAACACGTGGGACCAGATCGAACTTCAACTCTAAGGCCTAGCTCGCTTAGGGTTTAGGGTTTCCTAAACCCCAAACCCTAAACCCGAAACCCCAAGCTCTAATTTTCAAACGCTAAACCCCAAGCCCTAGACCGAAAACTCCAACCCTGCAATGAGTGGAGTTGACAACTTGACGTGAGACTTCCCTGTTTAGGGTCCAGGCCTCCAGGGAGTTTAGGATTCAAGGGCTCTAGGGGCTCTTGGGATGCAGTTAAACCCTAAACCCTAAACCCTAAACCCTAAACCCTAAACCCTAAACCCTAAACAGTTAGAGCTCTCGTTAGGGTGTCTGGACTACCGTCTGGACTACCGGCATCTTGAGTTGCAGAGCACATGGATCTGCCACTCTGACCGATAACGTCCTGACAGCGTGCTTTCTGAGCAAAGCTGTCCTTGGGAGGAGGGGTTTAGGGTTGAGCGTTTGGGGTTTAGGGTTTAGGGTTTAGGGTTTAGGGTTTAGGGTTTGGGAGGCGAGATCTTCCATCCCGTTTAGTGTTTTCAGAGGGCTCAGGATTTCGGCTGTTGGGTGCATCGCTTTGCTCTGTGCAAACCACCAATCAAGCATGTGTTGTGGTTTTGCGCATGTGTGTGTGCGTGCGCGCGCGTGCCTCGGTGTACGATCGTTCCCAGAGCTTATGACGGCGTTGTTTCGTCTGAGTTTCGTTGACAAGTTGCTGTGGTCGACCACTCCAGACCCCAGCTGATCGACATTTGCTGCGGGCAGATTTGTTGCCGGAAATCATGTCAGAGTTCGTCCAAGTTGATACCTTAAACCCTAAACACTGAACCCTAACCCTAAACCCTAAACCCTAAACCCTAAACCCTAAACCCTTCCGCAGACGCCGAAAAACGGCCAGAGGAAAAGTCAGCGTCAAGTCGCGGGATCCAGGTTCGACTCCACCATGCCACTCTCTAGCTATTCTACACGTGCATGAGCCGAGTTCGTGTGCCGCTAGCAACAAAGTCAAGAGACCCTAATAGAAAGGGGCTTAGGGTTTAGGGTTTAGGGTTTAGGGTTTGGGGTTTAGGGTTTGGGGTCATCGTCGTACCGCCTTGCGTGGTTTCCTGGGGAGTCCCTTCGGAGAAAGCTGATTTCGCTGCAAGCTCCCGCAGGAGGTCTCCTCTAAAGCCCGGAAGGTCCGCGAAACGGCAGTTTCAAGTTAGGTTAGGGTTTAGGGTTTAGGGGTTAGGGTTCGGGGTTTAGGGTTTAGGGTTTTGGGTTTTAAGGGCTGAGGGTTTGGGCTTTAGGTTTTTTTTTTCGACCCACCCGGCGCTGCATCGGCAAGCTCGCTATCGCTCACTGCTTCTTCTCAAATCGGCCCGTGGCTCCCTTGAGGCTTGAGTTCAGGGTTGGGGTTAGGGTTTGGGGTTCGGTAGGGTTTAGGGCTTAGGCTTAGGGCGTAGGGCTTAGGGCTTAGGGCTTAGGGCCTAGGGTTTATGGTTTAGGGTTTAGTGCTTAGGGTTCTCGAAGCGTTCGCGTGAGTGGGAGGTTCGTCTCCCTTCTAGATTTGTAGTTCATGTTTCCCAGCACTGTCGCCCACGGAATGCTCTGTGCAGTCGAGCAGTGTGCGACGAACGTGAACTGGGCCGGCCAAAAATAGTGCTCCCTCTCTCTCCCTCTCTCCCTCTCTCCCTCTCTCCCTCTCTCCCTCTCTCCCTCTCTCCCTCTCTCCCTCTCTCCCTCTCTCCCTCTCTTTTGTTTGGTCTCGAAGCGCACGGAGTGCTGCCTTTGGCTGTTGGGTGAAACTTCATCTAGGCTACCTCTCCCTCTCCCTCTCCCTCTCCCTCTCCCTCTCTCTCTCTCTTGCTCTCGCATCATAGGTTTGTATCTAAGTAACAAGAAGCCCAAGGAGTTTCGACATACAGGTTAGGGCCCCTCCACGCAGACGCCGTCTTGGTAAGGTTGGGGCCCTCTCTATTGTTCTGGTGAAGCCGCCATGAATGTAAGGGCAGGTGGGGGGTTATCCCTAAACTCTAAACCGTAAACCTTCAAAACCCCAAGCTGCCAAAAGGCATCTTTTGTCAGAGATCTTTTCCTTCTCCCAGAGAGGGGCCTTCGACCCCGTCAGTTCGCCTTTCAAACCCTTGCAGTCCCAACGCCGAACTCGTCCTAAACCCTGAACCCTAAGCCCCAAGCCCTGAACCGTCCCCAAGTTTTGAGCCCCACAACCCGAAACTCGCAAGTTGCTAGGTTGCCCCTTGAAGGTTCTCCCCTGTTTTGGCTGCAGAGCGTTTAGGGTTTAGGGTTTCGGGTTTAGGGTTTAGGGTTTAGGGTTTAGGGTTTAGGGTTCAGGGTTCAGGGTATCGAGTTGCCCCTTAAGAACTCTTAGCAAAGACACCTCGCTGAGGAATGCTTCTTAGTGTAGGGCTTCCGCCGCCAACCTAGCTTATAAACCTGCCTGAGGTTGCATTGACAGGTGCTTTGGCCTATCCAGAAAACCCTAAACCCTAAACCCTAAACCCTAAACCCTAAACCCTAAACCCTAAACCCTAAACCCTAAACCCTAAACTATCCTATATACTCACCCCCCCCCCTTCGCCCTTCACAAAAGGGAACATGCCTACATTTTTTCTCTTTTCGCCGGAAGAAGACTTGCATGAACCCTGAAATTTTGAAACTCCGCCCTGGACCTACAGGCCCTTTAACATCTAAACAGAGTTTAGGGTTTAAGGTTTAGGGTTTAGGGCTCCACTGAACTTGGTGCCATGTCGCCTCCGACTGCAGCAACACAGCTGTGAACCCCAGCACCCCCCACCCAAACCCAAAACCCTGAACCTTAAGCCCTAAACCCTAAACCCTCAACCCTATACAGCCGATGAACCCTATCAACCCTATAAACGTAAACCCCACATAAACCCCATGCAAAAGCTTTTTTTTACACCCCCATATAAGCCCCAGGAACCCTATAGAACCGCAGAGTTCTAAGCCCAGAAAATCTAAACCCTCAAACCTCAACCGTCAACCCCCGAAACCCTAAACCCTAAACCGTACAGAGCCTCAAAGTGGCATCACGCACGCCTGCGTGCGAGAGAGAGAGTCTTGCGCCATGTCGGACCGCACTGCTGCCCTGCAGGCTGGTCTGAGGGCTTATGACAGGGGTGTAGGGCTTGTAAGGGTTTAGGGTTTAGGGTTTAGGGTTGAGGGTTTGGGGTCTACCCGAACCCCCCAAACCCTACAGGGCTTTGAGCGCATAAAGAGAGTCTAGGCTAGGAGGGCTTGTTCGGATTTCGGATACAGCCGATGGTTGAGATGGAAGGTTCCGCAAGCTTTGCTGTACCCTTTTTTTGCCGGACGTATTCGGGGTACCTCAATTTGTGGGAAGGCGCCATACTCCAATACCCGGCGGCTAGCCAGCAATTCACCCATTGCCAAGAATCCAATCACCATATAGTTTCATGGGATTCCAACGTGTGCCAACTTGTTTGCCAGTTGCATAAATATTTCCTCCTGATCTGCAGGTTGTATACCTTATGTTTAAGGGGAACATCCAACCTTATACCCTATACCCTTGTGCCTTCTACTATAAAGTTTATGGTTTAAGGATCTTGTTCCTTAAGCCTTATATCTTATACCTAAGGCATTCATTTGTTTTTTTATTTATCTTTTATCCTCATCTGACATGACCGGTCATCTTGTTTACATGACGTCTTCCTCATCTATTCTGCAACCCTAAACCCTAAACCCTAAACCCTAAACCCTAAATGTGCCCTTCAGAATGACTCTTTTTCCTTGCAGCTTGTACTTTCTATCTCCTCTCATCGGGGTTCTATGCGGGGGGGGCCGAGCTCTGCAGCCTGCAACTCGTCACTGCAGCAGCCGCCACCCTAAACCCTAAACCCTAAACCCTAAACCCTAAACCCTAAACCCTAAACCCTAAACCCTAAACCCTAAACCCTAAACCCTAAACCCTAAACCCTAAACCCTAAACCCCAAACCCTAAACCCTAAACCCTAAACCCTAAACCCTAAACCCTAAACCCTAAACCCTAAACTAAACCCTCCTGCCCCGCCCTCCTGCTCTCACAGGCGCGCATCGCGCAGGTCAAGTGCCGCGGATTGCATGCAAATTCCCAGCGGATTCGAAGGGCTTGCGCCGGAAATGTGAGGGTTCAGGGTTTAGGGTTTAGGGTTTGGAGTTTAGGGTTTAGGGTTTAGGGTTGATGGTTTAGGGTTTAGGGTTTAGAGACCCTAGAACCCAGAACAGATTTCTGGCCCAGGCCTGTGCCGGCGACGGTCCAACTCCTGGAGAAGCAGCACCTGGGATTCTGTCCGTGGATTAGGGTTTAGGGTTTGGGGTTTGGGTTTAGGGTTTAGGATGTAGGGTTTAGGGTTTAGGGCTTAAGGTTTAGGATTTAGGGTTGAAGGTTGTTAGGTTTGGGGGTTTGTTCAACAACCAGGGTCGTCGAAAGGACTACTTCGCGAACTAAGTCTCACGGGCATAGGCCACTGAACGAAGTGAGCGAGAATCAATAATATGTGAACACGACGAGTGCGTTGATTTCCATCATGCAGGACGGTGATCGCAACGTCTTCATCTGTTGTCCCAATTTTGGGTGAAAAGGGCTTTATGATGAGCTCTGTTCTAGACATAGAGCCTTATCCAGCAGTTGGCAGAATACAACAGCCTTTCGCTTTCTTTTTTGGGGGGTTCAGTATTTTTGTGGTATGGGTTGGCTCTTTCCCCCGCGGCAGCAACAGACGTTCCAGGGCATCTTTTTTCGGGCCCCTTGGATTTCGACCTCCTACTTCGTTTCATGGCCACTCTCCCTGCATGGGGGGAGCTCTTCCGAATGCAGAGGGCCGAGGGTTTCAAGGATAGTCTAAGGAGAAATCTGGTTTTGGGCTTCAGGGTTTAGGGTCTAGGGTTTAGGGTTTAGGCTACAAGGATGGTGGTCGCATCAAATTGCCCACAACGGAAATGTCCACGGATGACCTCTCGCAGGCAATGGTCCTCGCTAGATGTCTCATGTGGCTTTTCTTCGTTCGCGCGGACACCGACTAGAATGTCTCTGTGCCTTTGTACTCAAGCCCCAAACCGGCCCAAAGCCCAATATGTGCCCCGCAAACCCTAGACCATAAAGCCCCCCCCCCCGCCAAGCTTCTAACCCTGAAGCCTAAACATGAGATAAGCTGTATTGGTCGCCCTGACCCTGATCACGAGTCAGGGCCGCAAGCCTTCCCAAGGGTCAAAGCCCCGAACCGCCGCCCACCTCTGCGCCTGGATGGTTGCGTGATTTCGAGTTTTGGCTTTGTTGCCCTGAACCCTAGAACTCCTAAAACCCATAAACCCGAAACCGTACCCTAAAACCCTAAAACCCTAAAACCCTAAAACCCTAAAACCCTAAAACCCTAAAACCCTAAAACCCTAAAACCCTAAAACCCTAAAACCCTAAAACCCTAAAACCCTAAAACCCTAAAACCCTAAAACCCTAAAACCCTAAACCCGAAACCCTAAACCCAATTATGAGCCTGCAAGGGCTTTATATAGGGTCTGACCCGAATCCGAGGTTGATCAACGGTGTGGACCTGAGAAGGGTTGCAGCATGCGGGCAGGAGAACCCTAAACCCCAACCCTAAAACCCAAACAAGCCCTAAACCCTAAACCCTAGCCCTAAACCCTATACCCTAAATCCTAAACCCTAAATCCCACCATAATGAGTTACTTGGCTATTGTTCAGGGTTGAGGGTTTAGGGTATCATTCCCAGAAGCTCTCTAAATGATGGTCCCTAATTGGGTTTAGGGTTTAGGGTTTAGGGTTTAGGGTTTAGGGTTTAGGGTTTAGGGCTTAGAATAAGGACCCAATTTCGACAAGAGACAACATGGCTGGTTGCTTACGGACTGGTCTAGCAGCCCACTTGGAGGACCTGATCAACCCGAGCATGGGGTCATTTGTAAGGTGTGTGGACACTTCACGTTTCTAGGGTTTTAGTGCTTAGAGATGTTTAGGGTTTAGGGTTTACGGTTTACGGTTTAGGGTGCATGTTCACGTGGTCTCAGGGTTGATATGGAGGTTGGTGCTTGTCTGTAGGTAGTTGCAGGGTCCCTTATCTCGAATACAGGGTTCTGAAGTATGGGCCCTGAGGGTTTTATGGGCCCTGAGGGTTTTTGAACAGGATATTGATGGGTTTTGCAGGGCTCTCCACCTAAGCCTACTCAACACTGCACCGCTGAAACCCTGCAACTCTGAAATCCATTGGCCCTAATCCCTAAGCCCCAAATCCTACAACCAAAAACGCAGACCCTAAGCCCTAAACCCTAAACTTTAAACCTTAAACCCGAAGCCCTTACAACTGAAGACGACGAAGCCTTAACCTCCCAGGCCCCCCAACATATCCCCAAACCGTAAACCCTAAACCCCAAACCCTGAGCCCTACATGGTGCCTTCTTGCCTTTGCTAGAAACGCCCTCTGAGGCGACCGCGAAGTGCGCGCCCAAGGCCCCGAAAGCTGGGGCTTGGGGCTTGGGGCTTAGGGTTTAGGGTGTAGGGATACGGCATCTTGGTTTCAGGTTTGGGGTTGGTGTCGGGGGAAGTGTTGAAGTTGTCAGGGTTTGAGGGAGAAGAGTTAAGGCGTTCTCGCGCTTGGGGTTATGAGCCCCCTTAGGGCTTAGGGCTTAGGGCTTAGGGCTTAGGGCTTAGGGTTTAGGGTTTAGGGTTTAGGGAATGTATGGTTGTCATGGTTGAGTGGTTTAGGTTTCTAAAGCCACCACGCCGTCAGGACCGCACATGCGTAAAGCAGCCCTTCGTGCACCCTACACCGCTGGCACCCTGGAGTAGGGCTTAATTAACGCAGCTTGGGGCTCAAGGTGAGAGGCATGAAGTTCATGGGGGTTTAGGGTTGCGGTCTAGGGTCTAGGGTCTAGGGTTTAGGGTTTAGGGTTTAGGGTTTAGGGTTTAGGGTTCAGGGTTTAGGGTTTAGGGTACCCTCAGCCCTAGACTCTCAGCCAGTAAGCAAAAACCCCCAAGACTGAGAGCCCATGAGCCCCTGGCCCTGACTCAGATTCCCGAACTCCTACAAGCGTTTTCGGGTTCAGGGTTTAGGTTTTTGGGGCTCAGGGTTTAGGGCTTAGGGTTTCGGGTTTTGGGTTTAGGGTCCTCAATCCCGAAGATCTAAACGAAACCTAAACCCTAAACCCTAAACCCTAAACCCTAAACCCTAAACCCTAAACCCTAAACCCTAAACCCTAAACCCTAAACCCTAAACCCTAAACCCTAAACCCTAAACCCTAAACCTCAGCCGAGAGGCGTCGAGTCGATCACCAAGATCCGTCCGCCGCCAGAGCCCCTCACGGACCTGTTGGCGCCCGGGCTGCAAACCCTAAACCCTAAACCCTAAACCCTAAACCCTAAACCCTAAACCCTAAACCCTAAACCTTGGTAGCCCAGTGGTACCCTTTTCCCTTTTTGTTGGTTCAAGGTTCCCTGATAAATTCACCAACCAAAAAAGGGTGCCCTTGTTATGCTTACTGGGCTACTAGGTCTTCAGAACATGCAGGGTGTTTTAAACGTTTAAAGAACCCTAACTTCAGAACCCCTAACATAAATAAGGGAAACAAGGTTTAGAGGGTTTATATAGGGGTTTATACAGGGGTTTATAGGTTTTTGGGCTGTAGGGTTTACAGGGTTTATATATATATATATATATATGCATATTTATTTATTCATTCATTTGTTTATAACCCTAAACCCCAAAAAACCGATAAACTCCTAGATAAACCCCGATCTATATATATATATATATATACCCTGAGATAAACCCCTATAAACCCCTATATATAGGGGTTTATCTAGGGGTTTATAGATTTTTTGGGTTTAGGGTTTAGTGTTTAGGGTTCAGGGCTTGGGGCTGAGGGTTTGCGGGCTTGAGGCTTCCGGGCGCTTACCCTAAACCCCAAACCCTAGGCTTTAAGGTAGGGTTCCGAAGCTTTCAGGATACCGGTTTTGGTGAGCTTGCGGGAGTCAGGTTCCCAAGCCCTAAACCTTAAACCCCAAAACCCACACCTTAAACTCGAAGCCCCTAAACCCTTTCAACCCTCCAGCCCGAAGCCCCTGAACCCTTAAACCTTTAAGCCCTAAGCCCGAAGTCACCTTAGACTCTACGTAAGACATACTTGGCTGAATTCTTCTGGCTGGCTCTTGTAGGACTGAACCCTTTGGGGTTGTTGAAGAAACTACAATGAGGAGCCTAAAAGTTAAACATCTAGGAGGGGTCAAGAAGTCAGCCAAGTATGGCAGGCTACAGAGGCGCATACTCGGATGATTCCAGATTCCAGGCCCGGCTGATCCAGCATGAGAACTGGTCGTGGCCTCGGGCCAGTTCTTCAGTTCTCGGGTCCTCGGCAGGGTTTAGTAGGGGTGCCGGGCTTAGGGTTTGGGGTTTCGGGCTGTTTAGAAGCAAAGGCAGGGCTTAGGGGCTTAGGGTTTAGGGTGTTGAGTTTAGGGTTTAGGGCTAGGGTTTACTTGGGGCTGGGGTTTTAAAGTTGCACTCCCCCACCCCACCCGGCTTCCCACCTTGAAACCTAACCACCCTGAGGTGTGGGTTTCGGAGTCTTCGGCGGTTATGGCAATTTGCCCAAAGAGGCGTTATGGGGTTGATGAGCGCCCACCCCTTGCATTTTCCACCTGAGCAGCGTTTTTCAGCAGCCTCCAGTGCCCTCCTGCCTCACCAAAGATGAAGCCACAGAGGGGGTGAGGGTACCCCTATCACGTACCTCCAATATGTTCTGATCCTTATTACTCACATCATCTATTCAAACATGGCCTCTACTAAGCCCCAAAACCCTACTCCTTTGGATGTCCAGGGCTTTGTTTAGGGACGTCCCCCCCCCACCCGGCCAGGGTTGCCAGAAAGACCTCAAGCAAAGCACGTGTGTTCCTTGCATACGGA